GGCCTTTCCCCTGAAACCAACAATTAGGACAGCAAACACGGAGATCAAAGGAATGTTTATTACAGCATTTATGGGCCTACCTCCTCCATAAATAAATCTGTACAGAGTTGGGAAGTAGGACCATCATACATACAGGAGGGAAGAGAGCATGGTCTTAAGGCCTGGGGATCAGTACACGTCATCAGGCTCAACATCCCAGTGTCAGGTGCACTAACAAGGCTGCTGGGCTCTCCACTGGAGTGGAAACAGCAGGACCTCTGCTGCAGGATCTCTCAGAATTTGTGGGGAGGGGTGTCCATTGCATGTTCAGCCTATGACCCAGGTCCAAAAGTTCCAGCCTTCTCTGCCACCTCCAGGGCTAACTTCAGGTTCTGGTCAAACAGCTCACACCTATACCAGGTCCAGGAGGCACAAATAAGGACCAAGTGTGATGTCTAAGGCTCTCTCCCCACTTTGGGTTACAGAGGCAGAGCCTGCTTGAAGGACAAAAACCCCAAGAAAAGTCTATGGTTTCTTAAAGTAAGAAGTAAAAGGCTACTCACTTTTATTTAAAAATAACTCTATTCCACTTCAAAATGACTTTGGGGAAGAGCACACAGGGAGGGGCAAGGAGGCTTTGATCTGGGGAGTGGGACCACCTACCTACCTGATGGGCATTTCCAGAGAGTAGAATGGATTCTTGAGAGCAAAGTCTGAATAAATCTCATAAATCTTTCGGAGAAGAGAATCTATTCCAGCTTGCCTAGGGTCTGCCAGCACCACAAACTTGATCCCTGGAGAGGGGCCAGGAATGGTTACCAAAGGGTAGAGAATGCAGCAAATAATGTCATCCTGTTTATGCGGCACTTTCAATTTTGCAAAGCACTTTCATAATCCCATTATTATTTTATCCTTATTACTCCACAAAGCAGGAAAGGCAAGATTTTACACCTATAGGTGAGACCAGAGAGTTGAAGAGACTTTATCACATCATCCAGCTGACTGAGACCAGGCTTTGAGTTCTAGTTCTGTCACTTACTTGTGGTTTTGGTGTCCCTCAGCAGAAAGTGCCAGGCAGGGGACAAACATAGGCAATTTTCAATTATCTGTATTAAAGTAGTGAAGCAATGACGCTCGTGATTCAAAGGTTATTTCCATTTAGCATTCAAATTTCATTTTGGAACAACACCCCTTCCAAAATGTGTGCAACATGAGATAACACTAAAGTGAGTTTTATTTGCACACAGGATAACTACGGCTGAGCACGCTGGGTGGTGTGGATAAAATCGGTGTCAGGTTAAACATTGGCTTTGGATTCACAAAACAAATAGATGTGTCTGTGCAATTGTCCCAGGAAAAGCTACCCCCACCCCTCACTGCTTACCAAGTTGTCTTTCGTCAATCCCAACCCTCAACCTGCCCCACTGCATCCCTTTGGCCTATCTGGAGACACATACCTGTCAGTGTCTGGAAGCAGTGTAGCTTGAATGTGTCTGTCTCCAGCATCTCAATGCCTGAGCTGCCCTGTTCAGGAGACAGCTGGGAGCCAATTGCGAACAGCCTATTTGCAAAGGAGGCAAAGCTGGGAATGCACCTCACTGCTGTAACGGAGGAATGCTTCCCAAACTTTTCCACTGAAGTGATCCTATCTGCTGAGGAGTTTACATTATGGCCTGGCCTGAGTCAGCCAGAAGAGGCAGTGTGAACTGCCTAGCAGCAGTATCAAAATTTCTTTAGAATTCATTTGAATTCTGCATGAATTTTACAGCAGATCCTTGAATAGCATCGTCTTATTTTAACATTGAAGAGCTGCCATAGGAACTTAACACTTGTTCATGTCAACTGGCCTACAATAAAATTGGTTGTTATACAGTTGACACTTGAACATGGGTTAGAACTGCACGGGTCCACTTATATGAATTCTTTTCCCAATAAATATACAGTCAGCCTTCTCTATCCCTGGCTTTGCATCTGAGGAGTCAACCAACCCTGGATCAAATACAGTATTTTTGATCCTTGATTGGGAATTGGTAGATGCGGAGGGCCAATTGTATGCATTGTTGTACGCCATTTTATAAAAGGGACTTGAGCATCCACAACTGTTGGTATCCGCAGGGGTCCTGGAACCAATTCCCTGTAGATACCAAGGGATGACTGTAGTTGTTTTGGGGGAGTCAAGTTATATGTGGGAGTCACATCCCTAACCCCTCTTGTTCAAATATCAACTGTACTTCCTTTCACTAGGACTAACTGCAGATCCACACTTTGCTATAAAACATTTTACACTGAAAATTTTAGGTAAAATAAATACTAGAAATACGTGCCATGGTTACTTACCTTGAGGCTATGCATACTCAGCACATCTTATTCCATTGTTGAGAGCAGAAAAAAAATCTTACAATTCATTTAGTTCAACTGCCTTACTATAAAGATGAAGAAACTAAGGCTCAGAGAAGCTGATTTAAGCAAGATCACACCCCTATCAGTATTACTAAAACCTATTCATACTGAATGAATTATTTTTCTTTTCGTAACACAAGAACATACGATTTGAAAGGCGACAGAGTAAGGTAAGCATAGCCGCTCAGGAGACTGCCCATAGAACCACACCAACCCAGTCAGCTTGTGAGCCAAGGGCAGGCCTACAGGCAGCGTCGGGGAACTTACGAGTGGAACATAGAGGCCAGCATGAGCTTCTCATTGGAGGTAAGGCGGGGTCGGCCGAATCGAATGGACACCGGGTAGTTAGAAGGGCTGCCCAAGTACTCCAACACCTCTTTCCCATCAGCTGTGTACTTGCCGTTAACGTCTATGCCATTGATGGCCAGCACTGCGTGGCCCACTGCAGAAGTGAGGCAAGGGTCAACCAAGCCCCATCCAACGGATTCCGCTGAGGAAACTAGGAGCCCGGCCCCGCCCCCGCGCCCCCCTCCCCGAGAAACCAGCCTACTTCCGCAGGACCGGTCCCGCCTCCCGGGCCCGAGCCTAGCCCACCCCGGATTCCGTCGCGCTGGCCGAAGGCAACCAGCACACGCTCGTCATGTAGCTTGAGCAGCAGATCAAGCGGGTAACTGAAAGTTTTTTCAGCCTCGGCCCGTGGCGCGTAGCTGTCCAGTTGGTAAATCAGGCCGCCAGCTTTGTTCACCACATACACACTGAAAATCGCCATTGCAGCTGCCTGGGCTCCAATACTGGAAGTCGGCCCGGCCCCGCCCCGGAAGTACCCGTCACGGGATCCGTCCTCGCCCCCCCCCCACTCCTCTTTGCAGTCTCGATTTGCTGCCGTCTGCGGCGCTTACGCATTTGAGGCAATATGCTTGGGTGTAACGGAGAAAATTAGTTGCCGGGGGCCTGATAAGTTGTTTTCCGTCTCTTTCTCGGTCCTTAACGCCAGGGAATAGCAACGTGTGAGTGCTTCACAACAGGCGGCAAAGCCCAACAAGGCGGGGACAGTGTTCAGGGCGTGCAGCAGGAGAACCAGAACACCCAAATCCTCCCAACTGCTTACAGCATCAGCGAGAGGGTGGCGCTTAGAACGTCCTTCGCGGGGCTCCGCCCCTTGCCCCGGAAGCACTAGCCGCGGGTGGAGGTTTTTGGGCCTGTTCCTAAGCGGCGCTTCCTTTTTCTCCGACATCTTAGCGAGGCTGCAGTTGAAGCCGCTGCTGTCCGTGTTTCGACATGGTGAGCTGAGTGGTGTGGAGCCGGCGCGGTTCTGAGAACCAGGCGGTTCTGGAGCGTAGTTGAGGCTTCATTGGAGGGAGGGCTCCCAGAACTGCCAGGCTGCAACTCAAGGCGGGCCGGGGTATTGCTTTACCCATGTGCTCCGCTAGAGAAGTTTGGGCGGGAGTGAGGGGCGCAATGGGGGGCATGGGTTGCCTTATGAGCTGGCGGCATTCCCACTTTTCTTCAACAGCCGCCCAAAGACGACAAGAAGAAGAAAGACGCTGGAAAATCAGCCAAGAAAGACAAAGACCCAGTGAACAAATCTGGAGGCAAGGCCAAAAAGAAGGTAGGAACAAGCCCTTCCTCTATGAGCGGGGGAAACTGGGCTCCCAGCCCGTATTGCTATAGTAAGTGACGTATATAACAAATGGCTTTTAACGTTGTGGCGTCTGGTTAGGTTATTAAAGCGTGTGTTAGTGGTATCCTCACTTTTCCCCCTCATTTGAAGAATGGGGTGGTACATGCTACTTGGAAATGGAACAAGTGTGTATAAAGCATTTGTTCCTGATACTTAATACGTAATATTTTAATCTTGTGGGTTTGGCCCATATCCAAAAGTCTCAAAGATTTTTTCCCCCAAGTTATTTGAAGCTTAATTTGCAGATTCTGAATTTCGTAGGTTTCTGCAAGCCAAGAAACAGCCAACCTCTCGGTATTGCCCTGCAAACACGGGAGAGATTGCTCTTAACACAGGTTGTTTGGGAGAGAAAGAGTGATTCTTCCAGGAGCACTGACTTTTCCATTTTGTTTTTGTGAGTAGAAGTGGTCCAAAGGCAAAGTTCGGGACAAGCTCAATAACCTAGTCTTGTTTGACAAAGCGACATATGACAAACTCTGTAAGGAAGTTCCCAACTATAAGCTTATAACCCCAGCTGTTGTCTCTGAGAGACTGAAGATCCGCGGTTCCTGAAGGGCAGTCCTTCAGGAGCTCCTTAGTAAAGGTGAGAGGGGTATATTGTACTGGTATGGTTTAGCACATCAGATTGGTTTGACCAGCGGTGGTAATATAATTCTAATGTCACCCTTAGGGTAGACCCTAAAGCAGCTATGGGCCCCTATGGCAGTTTGGTGACACTGTCTGTAAGGCCTGATACAATAGTGGTTTTTAAGTTAAAGAGGGTGACCATTCCAAGAGCAGGTTAACGGTCCCCTTGTTTAGAAAGAAATGTAGCCGTGCCTAATACAAAGTTTCATGCCCAAATTCACCATTTGTTTTGGGAAGGGATGGAAAACTCAGGAAAACTTATTCTTTTTCCTTAGGACTTATTAAATTAGTTTCAAAGCACAGAGCTCAAGTAATTTACACCAGAAACACCAAGGGTGGGGATGCCCCAGCTGCTGGTGAAGATGCATGAACAGGTGAGTGAGAACCCAGGGACTCATGGTGTAGGAAGTATGGGTTCCCTTCATAAGGCTTTATACTGATAATTTCTAAATTTTTTTACAGGTCCCACCAGCTGTATATTTGGAAAAATAAAACTTTATTAAATCAAGTGGGTATGTCTGTTTCTTAAGAAAGGCAGTTTACAAAGGATAACAGGTATAGGCTTTTGTTGACTTATAGTGATTGTAAAAGTATTAGGAGACCATTAGCTTTTTTTCTTTATGTGACTGCTGTTTGTTCCTTGCTGCAGCTTCAGTTTTGAATTGATGCCTGAAGAGAAATGAAGGGTTAATAGGATGAAGGGTGAGATCTCCAAAGGGTTGGGAGGCTTGGGACCTGGCACTTGGACCCATACCTGGATTGCCAGCGGCGTCCATTATTCCAGACCCGGCCAAAAGAGGGCAGCCAGCCTGCATTGGTGCTGGAGTTATGATCAAAGTTGGCCCCAACTCGGTCTGCGGGGAGTTTCTTCAATTTCTGTTTTTCCTCTACAATGATAAATAAATGCAAATGGTTTTATTTGAGTAGGAAGATTTAAAGAACCCACTGCCATTCTTGAATAAGTTTACTTACTTTCTTTAAGAAACTCTTCATAGGAAGGTCCTATTTGTTGATTCCCAGAGCTGTATTCCTCATCTTGAACCATCCAGGGAGGTGTGGCGCCTGGAAAAGGAAGACCTACATGTTCAGCAGAAATTAAGGCACTTCAAAAACTTGAGAACTGGAAATGTTTAAAAGTCCAGGAATTCTGGATCATAGAAAGTTGAGGGCCCTAGGCTAATTTAGAGCAACATTCCTTACTTAATTGCATGCTGACATTTAAGAGAGGCATAATTGACATACAACAAACTGCACATATTTAAAGTGTACAGTTTGAAATGTTTTTTGAGTGAAATCAGTCAAGATACTGAGTATTACCCCATGTATCCTTGTGCCCTTTTAAAATAATTCCTGTGCCTCCTATCCCTTTCCTAGTGCCAGGCAACTACTGTTTTCTGTTGCTATAGTTTGCATTTTCTATAATTTTATATAAATGTACTTTTGTTCTAGCTTTTAGCATAGTTATTTTGAGATGTGTTGCATATATTAATAGTTTCTTTGTTGAGTACTGTCCCATTGTTCATTTGTCGAGGCACATTTGGATTGTTTTCAGTTTTGGGCTACTACAAATGCTATGACGGGCAGCCAGTTAACTCAGTTGGTTACAGCACAGTGCTCATAACACCAAGGTGCTGGTTTGATCCCTGCATGGGCCACTGAGCTGGCTGTGCCCTCCACAACTAGATTGAAAACTACTACTCGACTCGGTTAGAGCTCATAAAAACACACTGACATTTTCTATATAAGCCTTTGTGTAGATAAACGATTCTCTTGGAATGGCTGTATTATAATGTATGTATATGTTGAACTTTTTAAGAAACTGCTGAATTGTTTTCCAAAAGTGGTGGTGTCATTTTACATTGCCACCAGCAGTGAATGAGAGTTCTTCCACATACATTAGCCATTCTGATGAGTATCTTTATATGCTTTTATTGGATTTTCAGAGTTCTTCATATATTCAGGACACAAGACCTTCCTCAGATAGTGCCTTTTTTTTTTTTTCATTCCCACCCCACCACCTCCTACCTTTTGGCAACCATTAGCTTGTTTTCTAGATTCGTGCTGTGTCTGTTCATGCATTTTAAAAATTAGTTTCAGGTGTACAAAGCAACAGACATTTATACCTCTCACAAAGTGAAAATCTCCATTAGTTTTTTAGACCACATATAAGTGAGATGATTGACTTCACTTAGCATAATACCCTTTATTTAGGTCCATCCATGTTGTAAATGGCAAGATTTCATTCTTTTATTGCTGAAGAATATTCCAGTGTGTGTGTATGTATATATGCAGCACATCTTTACATGTTTATCTGTTGATGAACATCTAGGTTGCAGTTAGTGCTTTATCTAAACTTTAAAAAATAACTTTTTTGAGAAAACACTGCCCTGGGGCCTTACCTGAGTGGATGTTACCAGCTCCTGGTGTATCCTGTAGTTAGAAATGGGGGGGGGAAAGGAAAATCCTAGATAAGAAAGCCAAGAGATGATAGGATACTCCTAGCTAGAGAAAGGACAAACTTAGAGGAGGTAGATGTCAAATCTTAAGAGCACAGTAAATCATTGAAAATTCTGTCCTCAAAAGATGGTCTTCATGGTGGAGATATGTCTACATGTGCCAGGTAAACAAAACCCTTTCCTCACAGCATACATATCATTGGAGGAGAAAAGTATAAATTACATCCACAGCTTTTTACCTGGCATTACATCCGTTTATAACACAGGTGACCTCAAATAAGCCTTCCATGAAAATGACATTTGAGGTAAGAGCTGAAGGAAGGTGAGCGTTAACTAGGTGATGAATGAAGGAAAGCAGTATTATGGCAATGGCAACTACATGTGTAAAAGTGAGAAGCATAGTACGGCTGGAGTGTAGAAGATGAGAGAGCAGGTAATGATGGAATTCTTGTGTTTGGGACAGGACTGCAGGGGGGAGTAGGAATTGTTCTAAGGTAGACTAGAGGCCAACTTGTATTCAGGAGGTAAAATAGACCTAGACTTGATTGGATGTAGGTGATGGAGGGTATAAGTATCGGCATCTACAGTTGCTGGAAATACAGGGAGGGGGTTAGTTTCAGGTACCTGTAGGATATCTAATAAATGTATTGAGCTGGAATTGGGGGTTCTGCAGAGGATGAAATATAGGAGTTGGCACTCTTCTAAGTGGCAGTGGGGGTAACAGGTGTTGGAGAGTGAGAAAAGAGGCCTGTGAGCACAGTATGGAACAGTGCAGCAAGAGAAAAGCCTGCAGAGACAACAGGAATGGTCAGAATAGGTAGAAAACCTGTAAGAAATGGGTGTCCTGGGAACTGAGGGGGCACTGGCTCTTTCCTGGCTTAGCCATTGTACCTGATGGCCAATGAATGTCAGCGGTCCTGTGTCCATCCAGTCAAGCTCTGGGGCAGATGGCAGGTCCAAGTATGAGGGCTGCTGTGAGGTGGAGACTATTTGGCTAAAAAAGACAAATGAGCTAGGCTGACAGACAAGGTCCTTGAGCCATAAGGATTTGGTCCATTTCCCAGCCAAAAAGTTACAGAATGCTCTTAACAGATGTCAAACTCAAGATTCCCTAATAATCTTACCTGTTTGTTCCTTTCCAACTTCCAGGTGCCGAAGAGCCCTCTTCTGGGTCTGGCACTGCCTGAGGCTGAGTTTGATTCAGGAAAAATAAATGTCTAGGATGCTTAACTGTATGCCTAGGCCATGCTCCCACCCTCCAGAAGGAAAATTGGCATATGGAGGGTACTGCCCATCTTACAAACTCTTATATCCCTCCCAGCCCTGCCTTCATCTCCACTGACAAGGCCTGCCCCCTGGCGGACAGGTAAGGGAATTCAAACGGAGTAGATGAAGCATGGAGTCAGTTCTCTTCGAGCTGGTAGGTGAAATGCTGGACCTGGGAGAACCAGGGATTAGTGAATTTGGATACTGCTCTGGCTCCTCTGAGGGAAACCAACCTCTAAGACAGACCGAACCACCTCCTGCCGACTCTGCTCCACCTCACGGATCTGAGCTGCCATCTGTAGGGGAGAGGCTGCTTAGATAGGTACAAGATTATGGGGGATGGGTCGGTCCTTCAGAGGCTTTTCCTTTAACTTACCTCTTTGATCACTTCATCCTCTTTTTCCTCATAAGAATCCAAACCTTTCACCATGGATTTCTTGAATCTAAAGAAAAAAGGGAAAGTGAGCTCAGAACCCCAGGCCCTGCCAGTTATAAAAAGATACTCGGGCCGGCTGAGTGGCGCGTTGGTTAAGAGCTGGCTTGGGATGCCAGAGGGCCCTGGTTTGGATCCCACATATGAGGGCCGGTGACACTGCCCTCTACAGCTAAGATGCTGAACAACAGCTCAACCTGGAGCTAGGCTGCCATGAGTTGGCATAGGCTGCAGCCCCTGCTGCAGTGGGTTGCCATGGGCTACCGTGTGTGGCCAGCAGCCAGTGTGAGCGGCCAGCAGCCGCTGTGAGCGGCCGTCCAGAAGCCGGCGACTGATGTGCCTTGCCTGGGAAGAGCGCAATGATGGTGCCAACTTGGGCCAGTGAAGCAACGTCCTCCACAACTAGACTGAAGAACAAAACGACAGCAACTTGTCTGTTCCCCTTCCCCCAATTCCCCAATAAAAATCTAAAAAAAAAAAAAAGAGTAGATAATTTTTTCTTTAAATGTTGAGTAATTTTAAACTCAAAATAGTACAGTGAACCTCTCATCCAGATTCACGGTTAACATTCTGCCATACTGGCTCCACTTTTTTTAACATTTTGCCAAACTGGCTCCATTTCTCTTATATACATACATTTCCTTTTTGCCAAAATAAAATTGGTTTGAGACACCGTGAGACTTAACTCTAAATATTTCAGCATGCATCTCCTGAGAACAGGAACAGTCTGAAACCATGAAACCATTACCACATTTAAGAAAGTTTTAAGTCTTTTTGATGTTCAAATTATCCTGTATGGGGCTAGTGAGAATCCTTTCAAACCAGCTCCTTTGTCCTCTGGATATGTCATCAGTATGAGCATTTCCAGCACAAGACATGCCAGGCTCACCATGTACTTTCCCTGCTCCAAACCTGAAATCAGCCATTTCTCCAATGAGATCTGATTCTTTTTAGTAGAAAGTAGTACTTATACAAAGAGCTGAGTGTTAGTAAAGTTCTTATTGCTCCACAGGTGTCATGCTTTTAGCTCTTTCAGAAGACAGCTTTGATTTTCTTAAAAATTCATACTGCTATCTCCCCAATCAAATCCCTCCATTCCTTACTGGTATCTTCCTTCTGCCATACTGAAAACCCTGATTCCCAATAATATCAATATACAGTTGATCACTGAACAGCATAGGGGCTTAGAGGCACTGACCTACACAGTTGGAAATCCATGTATAATCAGCCCTCGGCACACGCAGATTCCCAGACAGGAGTTGATCCTAGAACATGTTTGAACTGCATAGGTCAATTGGAAAAAAAATCTGTATAAGTGGACATGTGCAGTTCAAACATGTTCAAGGGTCAACTACTTACAGTTCTTTAATCCTATAATACACACAAAAAGGTATCAGAATACCAATACTACTATCAACAATAAAACTACAAAGCTCAAGATTTCTTTGCAGCTCTTTAGTCCTTAGAAAATATTCTTCTCAGGATATACCGTAAGAATTTTGTGTTCAAAAGACTTGAATTCTTATTCTTTTGTCTGTGATTGTTATCAATTTGATATATAATTAAGAAAATTCATCTTTGCAATCAATTTTAGGATTTCTTTTCTGACCTAATTTTAATATAACATTTATGTAGGAGAATGGCTCTACCATGGAGACCTGGCAGCCTTGCACATATCCATACAGGCAAAGCCTTGAACCTCAGCTTATCAGTCTTGGCTGACTGCCTGTGTGATCCTCCCATAACACAAGAGGATGGGAGGCCTGAAAGGCCATCTCCCACTTGCTCCCTATCTCCCCTGGGAAGCTGTCATGAGACAGGTTCTCATCAGCTCCTGGGTTCTGATGAGATGTGGGGCTTTCTGCTTTGCTCCTCTCAGAGTAGAGTTGTAGACTTTAAAACCATCTATTGGGTTGTCGGAAAAGTTATGACACATTTTTGCAACAAAAAACAGAGAAAAAATATTTCATGACTTTTCTCACAACCCAATAGTTGCAGTTTACATTTGGCTCCCCAGCAACTCCCTACAACTCAGGCTGAGGTCATCCAGCCCTTTTTGGTGTGTGGGACAAGGACCTGGGAAGCTGGCACTTTGAGCTTACTTTTTTTGTTGTTTATATAAGTAGTAAACTGTCAAGCTCATTGTATCATTACTGGTCAAATCATTCTGGCTTGGCCTTGTCTGGTCTTGTGTGTGTGCGCTTGAAATTTATAAGGTTAAAAGTCAAAACTATATTTAAATAAAAAGTTCCAAGAGTCCATCTTCATGATTCTCAATAACCTTTTCTGCTCAACTATACTGATTCACCCACCAAAAATCATATGTAGCTGGGTCAGGGTGTGAGGAGTGAGTGCTTTTTGTCCTCAGATTCCCATCTCCTCCCAGTCTGAACCACAGGTTTAAAGGAAAGGTAGTGGGACTTAGGCATTTTTTGTCTGAGTAGAAAGAAATAATAGGCACCGTGAGTTTTTCTGTAACTTTGGCTCTGAGATCCCCTTGGGTTCTACATCCTATAATCTCAATATAGTTCCAGTAAAAGTGGTGGTGTGAAGCTGCCTATGTCCTCTTCCTGAGGCAGTCAGGGCTCAGACTGACCAGCTTCCTGCACTTCAGTTTTTAAGGGTCCTCCAGAGGCCAGTTAAAATAGTCTAAAATTATTAAAAGTGGGTATTGGGTGAGCAACAGTTTTGTTTTTGTTCTTTTTCTGCACACTATAAACTATAAAAAAGGTGTTCTCTGTGCCACACATTTAGATAGTTGATTATAGTCAGCTTTTACCAATATACTACTGTTCTCTATTTGCTAAATGCATTGTAAATCTCATCCCCAACTAGATCATAAACCTTTCAGACTATCGTACTTCCTTTATGTCCAATATAGTGCCTAGAATAGTGAGTGCTATGAAGACAATACTTATTAATTCCTTACCAAACTTTCCAATTAATCGAAGAAGCTCCTGTACTTGACACAGATCCAGAGAATTCACATTCTATTTCATCTTTCATAAGGAGTGACTTACCGTGCATAATCTTGAGGAGAGATGAGAAACTTCTCTTTCATCTGGACCTCAGCCTTGTTCTCCCACCAGAATCTGTTGGTTGCTTTCTTGTGCTCTAGGCTGAGAATGGAGAGGAGTAATCTCAATGACAGATTATAGAATATTCAGATATGTAGCCACTAGATAAGTAATGCAAATTGACATCTGGATTTCTGCCTCTGGGCAAGGCTTAGAGAGAAATACTGTTATTAGTCTCTTCCAAATTTCCAGTCCCCCTCTTCCAATAAAAATATAAGAATCTGAGAGGAGGTGATGGGAGGTAAACTTGAGCCACCTGCTGCCCAGCTGGCTTTTCCAGTTAGACTACCACCGCCACTGGGACCATGGCAGCCATAAGCCCTCTACCCCTTAAGGTAGGCGATCCATCCTGATCAAATCACAAAAGCGTTCTTCTAAACTCACCCTCACTCTAAACCCACCCTCCCACGTATGTATGCCAACGTGCTGGATGAGGCTCCCAACCCGGATCTCACCTGGCTAAATGCTCCAGCAGCCCCCCGTGCAGCACGGTCAGGTTTCCATGGCTCAGGTGTTTCCGCACCTCACAGCCGCAGCACAGGCACCAGCAGCACCGCTCGTGCTCGGGCACGTAACGCTCCACCTGAGCTGTGCGGACAGCCTTACGGGCAGCCTCCACCTGTGGCAGAGAGGGTGTAACTGGGAAGAGGCCAAGTGGGAACCCGAGTGGGACGCCCAAATCCCACCCCCTGGGTCCCCACTGCACTGCCAGGGCTTCCCCTCCAGCCTCCCGTCCGTACCTGTGGCAGGAGCCGATCCAAAGCCACCTTCAGCTGCCGTTGGTGCTTGCGACTGTAGACATGTCCGCGGCCACAGAAGAAGGTCTGACGGCACAGATGGCAGCGCTGCGCTGGCGCCATCGGCCCAGAGCTGAGTAACCGCGACAGGCAGCAGATCCTACACTATCCCGTGACCCCTGACCCCTTAGGGGCGGGGCGAGCCCGGCGTCTCCTCTGCTGCCCCCAGCGATGGGCAGGCGCCACTGCAAACCCTTCTGCGGCTGCGCGGGTCCTTTCCGCGGCTCCTCCACACCCAACTATATCATCAGTTCAGCAAAACCTCCAAAGGTGCCGGGAAAAGTGGTCAGCCCTCTCCCTGTGCAGATGCTCAGGAAAGAGCGCTCGCAACAGTTAGGTGAAACTGCAGAACCAAACACCACACACACACACGTCAGGACATTGACAAGGTCCCGTACTGGATAATGTAACAAATCATAACTGGTATTTATAAGGTGCTTACTGTGTGTCTATAGCTGTACATTAGCTACCTCACTTAATCCTCACGATAACCCTATGTGGTATTGTATTACCGGGATTTCACAACCGGAAAAACTGGGGCATGGGGGAGGAAGTAACTTTGTGGAAGGTTGCACAGGTGTTAACCAGTGGAGGCACCACTACCTCGGGCCTGGTGCTCTTCAGTACCAGCAGACTACTATAAAGAACACATGCTGGGTGTGGCCATAATCTCAGACCTAATCCCAGTCATACCCCACATGGGTGTTCTGAGCGTTGCTCCTGTAAAGGGGAAACTATAAAGGGTACAAAGTCATTCTTGAGGGTTAGCAGACATTTTTAATCTGTAAAAGTGCTAATCTAGTGGAATTTTTATTAATTATTTTAAGCCACTTCTCTTAGAATCATCAACCTTTTGTCTGTCCTGCTCCCCTAAACCCTAAGACCTAAGGGGAATTGCTTCTTTACACGGCTGAAATCCTCAGGTTGTAATCTCTACTCTTGAGTCCCTCAGCAGAAGCCTGGGGCCTAGGCCAAACCTAATTTAAAGGATAAGCAGACAGAGCTGGCACAGAATCCCAGATTCTCCTTAGATTTGTTACCAGTACTGGTGTGTCAACCTGGATGGGCTACAATGTCTGTAGGTATATACAGTCACTCTACATAATTCAGGCCCAGAAAGTAGCCGGACTCCCCTTCAGATCTTGACTTCCTGTTAGAGCTTCCCTTTAAATTCAAGCCTCTGCCAGATGTGGTCCATTTTGATGACGCTTGCAACACTCAATTCCTTGAACTTCCATCATTCCCCTTCCAGAGTTAATCCTGGGCCTTGTTCACCCAAAAGTGTTCCATCTCTGAATCCAAACTCTGAAATTCTACTCTGACCACTATCTTCCATCCTCCCCTGAAACCTTACCTTCCATCTGGTCTTTAACTACAGGAAGACCTCCATTGCTGAAGATGATTACTCATATCCATTCACTAGAGAATTATTTGGCATCGGCCAGCTGCCAGATGCTTTGCTCTAGGCCAGTGGTTTTCAAATTGTGGCCTCCAAATCAGCAGCAGCAGCATCTGGGCAAAATCTTGGGCCCCATCCCAGACCTACTGAATCAGAAACTCTGGTGTGGGGCCCTAGCCTTTGTGGCTTAATGAACCCTCCTGGTCATTCTGATGCTCAATCAAGTTTAAGAATCACTGGTCTAATCGTACCATTTGGGACGATATGGATAGACCTAGAGACAATTATGTTAAGTGAAATAAGTCAGTCGGAGAAAGACAAATACCATATGAT